TTATGTTTGAGGGAGGCCTCAATCTTCACAATTTTGCTAAAATGGCCTTGCCTGACCGGGTGATGGACATTGTCGATCCAATACTTCTAAATGAGGTTGAAGAGGTTATTGCTACTAATCGTATACTGGTACAAGAAAGAAACATTAAAAGAAAGGAATGCCTCATCTCAATCGTGAGGGTTAGAGTGGCATGTTCAATGGAGATACCACAAGATCGAATGATCATAACCAATGTTGTTCATGAATTACAAGAGGTCAAGGACATCCTTCTCTGGCCTAGAATTGTTCTCATCAGGCAAGGAGGTCAATCAGTTTGAGCGAGGTGAAAAGTGAACGGAGTTTCTGTGATTATCTGCCAGGCCACCCACATTTTATCAACCTATTTGTATTTTATTTTCATTTTAAAGTTAAATCCCTTTGATGAAAGTTTGTTGGACATTTTATTGAGTTTGAATGTTTGATTTAAGAGTTTCAAGATTCCTACATATCTTATTTCATTTGGATGGAGTGAATTAAAAATTACAATAAACAATTCCCAGCAAAAGGCCCAGTTTAGCAGAAAGGTTATTAGGCAATAAACAGTTTCAATCTGTCAGTCACCATCTGAACGTTAGAATGTTTTCTATCTAATTTGAATACTCAATTACTTGTCAAAAAGATCATGTATTTTCTAATGTTATTCTTGCAAATTGGAGTATGGTCTAGGAAGTCTAGAGGTGTCAACAAATAGGGATGTCTACAGTTTTTTAATCCTGTTATTGGAATGATAACGAGGAAAAGGCCCAGAGAAATTATTTTTAAGGGAGGCTATTAGATGTAAAGGGTATTAATGTAATTTATTCTTGCTAAGTTGAGTTAGTTTAGAATGAGTGAGTTAGTTCACTCTTCAGCTCAATAAGTAACTGAGCTACTATGTTTTATATAAAGAACAGTAACACTTTAGTAAAGACAAGAATTCATTTTCCCAAAACTCAGCTACATTTGTTTACTCTCTCGTTTATTAACATGGTATCAGAGTGACAAAATCTCCAGCCCTAATCTGAGAACGAGTCGATTCGAGTGAACCTCTTTAATTCAGATAAGTTCAATCAACTTGAACACCTGATTTCTTTGCTTCATCCTTCGAATTTTTTGGTTCAAAATCTTGAATTTTAGCTCGAAATCTTGAATTAGTTTTACTGTTCAATCTAAATTCTTAGTCGAATCGACTTGAATTTGATTCTAGATCAATCAATTTGATAATTAGTTAATCAAATATGGCAACATCAACGGAAGAACTTACCATTCAGTCGATTGACTCCAACTCACCTTTGTATGTACACCCATCAGATACACCACGCTTTGTACTAGTTTTTGAACAGCTCGTTGGAGTTGAAAATTGCAGCATCTGGAGTCGAGCCATGACGGTTTCTTTTTGTGCCAAAAACAAACTTGGATTTGTTATAATGGTACTTCCACAAAATCGACTGTACATTCTAGCTTGGCTCCACAATGGGAGAGATGTAATTCATTGGTGCTTGCATGGATCTTTAATTCAGTCTTGAGAGAGATCTTCAATAATATAGTTTACTCTACAAGTGTTGCATAGGTCTGACAAGATTTGAAAGAATAGTACAACAAAGTGAGTGGGACTAGAGTGTTTGGGTTGCATCAAGAAATCATTAACCTAACTCAAGGAACTAACTCTGTAGTCAACTACTATAGTAAATTGAAGTCACTATGGTATGAGCTTGATTCCTTGGTTAGTCTTCTTACACCTAATAGTGCCTCGGCAAAAGCATATTTGGAGCATCTAAATCAGCAAAAATTACTGCAGTTCAATAAAGATGAAAGTCAGAAAATCTTGAGTTTGAATTCAGAAGTAACTACAGTACCTTATGCCAATCATTCTGAAAATGGCAAAGGTCAGAATCAACGCCAAAAATATAAGGGGAAGAAGCCCAACATTGAATGTGAATTTTGTCACATTCCTGGTCACAAACGAGAAACTTGTTACAAGTTGCATAAGTATTCTCCTGACCATCAATTCACTAAAGGGAAAGCAAACTCAAGTCAAAATTTATTCCCAATCAAGTGCATACTTCAGAGTAATTGGATATGGGAAATTCAAGATCAATGATTAGCACTAGAAACTCAGATTCAATTGTCGGTCTTGTTTTGACTACTGAGCAGTACAATCACATCCTCCAGTCACTAGGAAAGGAGAATGTTTCTCCTCCCATTGCTAACTTGGCAGGTAATTCTATTGCCTTGATGTCTTACCTTCATAAGAATAGTTGGATAATTGATACTTGAGCATCTGACCATATGACATTTGATTATTATGTCCTACGAATACCTACTGCTATAGAACCTTCTGCAAAATACCTTATACGGTTACCAAATGGAACAAGAACATATGTTAAACATGTAGGGTCTGTAGTTCTAGACAATAATTTACATCTACCAAATGTCCTATATGTTCCAGATTTCAATCACAATTTACTTTCAGTCTCCAAACTTGCTGCTTCTAACAACTACTTTGTTACCTTTTATCTTGATTTTTGTCTCATTCAGGATCTTTGCAATGGCAAATTGAAGGGGATTGGTAAGCATAGGCAAGGTCTTTATTTCTTTAATCCAAATTTGAAACTTTCCACTTTTGTATCAAACTTAGGACAATTAAATAAGGCTGTTTGCCATACTGTAGAATCATCACGGGTTGTACCTTTTGAGATGAATTTGAATAAAATGCCTATTTCCATGTTTTCATTATCTTCATCTCATAATTCTGCATTATGGCATCAAAGATTAGGACATGCCTCTTCTTCTCTTTTGCTTCTTGTTCATCCCAGTTTGTCAAGGTCTAGTGCTCAAATTAGTTTACACTCTATGCATTGTCCTGTTTGTCCTCTAGCCAAAGAGACCAGGTTACCCTTCCCTAATAGTACATCTCAAACACAAAAAAAAACTTTGATTTACTACATATGGATGTATAGGGTCTTTATAAAACACCTACGCATGGGAATGCTAGATACTTTCTCACTATGGTAGATGATTTCTCTAAGGTTACTTGGTTGTTCCTTATGCAATTCAAGTCAGACACTTACTCTACCAATAAACACTTCCTTCGTATGGTTCATACACAATATAATTTGACTCCTAAGTGCATTAGGACTGATAATGGTTTAGAGTTTTTTTAACAAAGATTGTCATGAACTCCTAAGTAGTCAAGGTATCATTCATCAAAGTTATGCTTATTCTCCTCAACAAAATGGTATTGTTGAGAGAAAGCACAGGCACATTTTAGAGGTTGCTAAGGCTTTAAAACTTTAGTCCAATATTCCCACTCATTTCTAGGGGTATTGTGTGCAAACTGTTGTCTACATCATTAACAGGCTGCCTATTGCAGTCATTAAAGGTCAGTCACCTTTGAGAAATTTTTTGTCAAACCACCTTTCTTGAATCGTTTAAAGGTCTTTGGATGTTTGGCCTATACTACAATCTTACCTTCTAAGGACAAATTGCATCCTAGAGTTGCTCCTTCAGTTTTCTTGGGTTATTCTCTTACCTAAGGGCTAGATTTTACACAATTTGTCTACTCATTCTATGTTTGTCACCAAAGATGTCATTTTCTATGAAAATGTTTTCCCTTTTGCCTTGTCAACATCTTCCTTGAATCCTTTTCCTATTGATTCAGAGTTCCTTGTTTCAGAGTCAATTCCAACTCCTTTTATAGATTCTATTTCACCTCATTTTACTGCTAATTCTCTTGTTATCCAGTCTACAGAATCTACTGTTTCTCATAATTTTGTTCCTGATCATTCCACTCCTTCTATGCCTAGTATTACTCATGTTTCACCTCCTGCTCTTAGAAGATAGAGTAGACATACCAATCTACATTACATCATAATCCTGCAGCAAATACTTCGCACTATCCCATTACCAATTTTGTTTCCTATGCTAATGTATCCCCTTCCTATAAAGCATTCCTATCCAATCTCTCTTTAGTTGGACCTACTACTTTTACACAAGCCTCTAAAGATCAGAATTGGGTCACTGCTATGCAAAAAGAAATTCAGGCATTAGAAAGCAATCAAACCTAGTCCTTAGTACTTCTGCCCCTTTGTAAGGCTCTCATTGGTTGCAAGTAGGTATATAAACTTAAGTATAAGGCTAATGGCACCCTAGACAAATATAAGGCACGCTTGGTTGCTAAGGGATATACATAGTAGGCTGGGATTGATTATGAGGAGACTTTCTCTCCAATTATAAAGATGGTTATTGTTAGAACAGTTTTGGCTTTAGCCTTCATGAACAATTGGCCTCTTTATCAGCTTGATGTAGACAATGCTTTCTTGCAAGGGGACTTGCAAGAGGAAATTTACATGACATTCCCTAAGGTTTTCCAAGGCAAGGGGGCAGAATCTGGTATGCAAGCTCTATAAATCCTTATATGGATTGAAACAAGCTTTTAGAGCCTGGAATTATCAGCTAACTACAGCTCTTTTGAATGGTGGTTTCTAGTAGTCTCGGTAAGATTATTCATTATTTCTCAAAAGAAATCAATCTCACATTATCCTGATTCTTGTATATGTAGATGACATTGTGATAATAGGTGATGATCCAGCCTTAATCCACCATATTAAACAGCTGCTACACCACAATTTTAAGCTGAAGGATTTAGGTGTATTGTGGTATTTTCTAGGCTTTGAAGTTGCCAAGTCCTCTAAGGGAATTAGCCTCTGTCAATGCAAGTATGCATTGGAATTGATCTCAGAATCAGGTCTTTCAGGTTCTAAGCCATCTTTGGTTCCCATGGAGTCCAATTTGAAGCTCACTTCCATAGCATTTGATCATTAGTTCACTTCTGACAACACTAAGAATGATCATTTACTTCCTGTCCTATAGTTTATCAATGATTAGTTGGCAAACTGCTCTACCTATGTATGACTAGGCCAGACCTCAATTATTCAGTCAGTTTATTGAGTCAATTTATGCACCAGCCCAAGCAGTCACATATGGCAGTATCTCTCAAAGCGATCAGATATGTGAAGTCAGCTCTCGGACTTGGTTTATTCTTTCTTGCTCATAATACTTTGTCTTTATTTGCCTATAGTGACTCTGATTGGGGTTCTTGCTTGATGACAAGGAAGTCTATCATTGGCTTCTGTATTTTTCTTGGCTCTTCTCTGGTTTCTTGGAAATCCAAGCGCCAAGCTACCATTTCCAAGTCTTCCTTCGAGGCTGAATATAGAGCTATGACCTCTACTATATGTGAGGTAATTTGGTTAGTTCAATTGCTTACGAAACTTGGTTTCCCTGCTCAGCTTCCTGTTACTCTCACTGTGACAACCAGGCTGCCAACCATATTGCTTCCAATCCTATGTTCCATGAGAGGGCCAAACATATTGACATTGATTGTCATATCATATTGACATTGATTATCATATTGTGCGAGAGCAACTGAAGAATGGTCTAATCACTACTGCCCATATTTCTTCATATGAGCAGCCTGTTGATATTCTTACTAAAGCATTTGGCAAGACTCTTCATCATCACATGTTGCTCAAGTTGGGTATGCTGGATCTTTAGCGCCTTGAAAGGCTAAGATCCTGAAAGGCAATACTATCAGTAGAAAACAGTTTGGTACCAATTGCCATAAGTGTAGTACACACATTTGCTTCTAACATTCTTGTTTTTGCATGAAGATCAGAAACGTGCTTGGCCTATCTTAGATGAATACCATGAGCTATCCTAGTAGCTTCAATACCAAGAAAATAGTGTATTGAACCAAGATCTTTACGACTGAACTAGGTATTTAAGTCTTGAACCAGGTTTTGAATGAAAGTAGGATGTCCACCAATGATCAAAATATCATCAACGTAGATAAGGATGTAGATCATGCAGCTGTCAAGTTTGTAGGTGATTAAATTGGTATCTGACATAGAATTTTTAAAACCCTTATCCAAAAGAGCTTGTTTCAGCTTTTCATACCAAGCTCTTGAGGCTTGTTTGAGGCGATAAAGGGCTTTCTTAAGTTGGCAAACATGACCAGGGAAAGAAGGATTTTCAAAACCCTCAGGTTGATACATAAAGACTATTTCACTAAGAGTCCCACTTAGGAATGCATTGCTAACATCGATTTGCTTGATATCCCATCTATAAGTCATAGCAAGAGTTAGGATAATCTAAATAGTGGAGGGCTTTATAGCAAGGCTAAGGGTTTCAAAATAATCCAGCCTATGTGTTTGTTGGAATCCTTTAGCAACAAGTCTAGCCTTATATTTTTGAAGACTATCATCAGCATTATACTTAGTCCGAAAAACCTATTTGTTGCCAACAACATGTAAATCATTGGTCATGGGAACAAGTATCTAGGTATCATTTTTTACTAATGCATTAAATTTAGCCTACATTGCCTCTTTCCATTATTCACTTCTTAGGGCCTCTTTCACTGAAGTAGGTTCAACTTTGATAGAGACCCCTGGAATAGTAATAAGGGTAGTTTTGTTTTGAGTTGCCTTGGATCTAGTGACCATCGGATGCACATTTGTGAAAGCTGAAGCATCTTGAGTCTTAGAAGAAAACTATGAGAAAGTCAAGTCAACTTGAAGATGGTAGGGTGGTAATGAAGTTTCAGATATTGTAGGTGAGGAAAGAAACCAAGAAGAGGTTAAATCAACTTCTAAGGCGCAAGGAAGCTGATTGTGATAAGTGCTAGTGAGACGAGTTGAAGTGTATGGGAATGATGATGATGAAAAAGAAGGTGATTTGGATGGGGAAGACTGCTTCAGAGTGGTGGACTAATTGTGTAAGGAAATATCTGATATAGAGGATGTAATAGATGCTGTAAAAGGTGACTTATGTAGTGTAGATTGTTCAGGGATGGTGGACTGATTATGTGAGGTAGTGTTTGGTGTGAAGGGTATAACAGATGCTATAGAAGAAGTACCCTTAACAATTGACAGTGGTGGACTTGACAGAGAATAGGATACTGTTGGAGACTTTAAGCTGGAGGTGCAGCATCAGTTGATCGAGAGCTCTGCATGGAGGAGACAAAGGGAAAACTGGAAGGCCTATGTTCACATAAAGCTGTATGAATAGGTGATGAGGTGGGATGCCCAAAATCATGTGCATAAGGGAACTCTAACTCATTAAATTTAACATTGGGTGTAATATAGACTTTTCCATCATAATTCATGCATTTATAACCCTTGTGAATAAGACTATACCCTATGAAGACACACTTGGAGGAATATAGGCTGAATTTATGACAATTAAAATCCCTTAAGTAGGGAAAACAAGCACAACTAAAAACTTTCAATGTAGAATACAAAGGCAATCTGGCAAATAAAATTTGATATAGAGAATTAAAATGTAAAACAGATGATGGCATATGATTTATCAAGAATACAACTATATCGAATGCACACCACCAAAGATTCATAGGCATAGATGCATGTGCAAGCAATGTTAAACCAATCTCGACAACATGCCTATGTTTTCTTTCACTACGACCATTTTGTTGATGCACATATCACACGAATATCGAAATTGAATACTAACCTTAGTAAGATATGAGACCAAGCCTTTATACTCTCCCCATTGGTCTGACTGAAGACATTTAAGTTTGTATCCAAATTGTCTTTCAACTAAATGATGAAATCGAATGAAAACAGATGCAACTTCAACCTTTGTTCTTAAAGAAAACAGCCAAGTATATTGCTAAAATCATCTATGAACTGAATGTAGTACCTAAATCCCTCTAAGGAGTTTAAAGGTGCGGGCCCCCAAACATCACTATGTACAAGAGGAAGTGGTTCAGTGGCCTTTGAGTGAGAGGCTGGAAAATGATTAAAAAGCTACAGCAGACATTGATTTAGTTTTAGACAAAGAAGTACAAGGAATATGATGCATGATTTTGGAAAATGCCTCAGCATGAGGGTGGCCTAATCTTTGATGCCATATCATATATGTAAGATCTTTAATAGAATCCGCGTGACATGCGAAGGCAGACATATGAACTGAAGGTGTTAAAATGTCAATTAGAGACTCAGCAACACTAGTATTAGAACACAAAGAATTCCTTACTTCAGCAACAATACATAAAGAATCAGTTATAGTAGCAGCTAACACATTGCTTAAAATATTATCATTTTTAGGCGAACACAAAGAATTCACAGGTAAGTAACAATCCGCAACAGACACAAAATGTGCATTATCATTCATATCATCAACATGCATTGGATTGAGCAATGAAAAAAAAGTACTTTTATTGATTGGCTGCTGTGTACAATTGACATTATTAGGAGTAATGTCATTGTTAGTACAACTTGGAGACGTTATGTCAAAATTAGACAAAAACGAAAGTGGTCAACTAACATTAACATGTATTGAATTATAAGAATGCTCAATACTTGATGAAACACAACTAGATTGAGTAACAGTGCTTGGAAACTTATTAGACTCTATTAAAGACACAAAGGACCGAGAACCAGGTAAAGCAGATTGTGCAGGAATTTTAGTTGAAACTGAATTTGATGAAGTCTGAGAAGTAAGGGTAGAAGGGAGGTTCAACTGATACAACCCAACTTTAAGTTCTCCCTGCAACAACACTATACTAGTGACTTTGTCCTTAACCACTCAGCAATCAGATGAGAACTCAACTATAACATTGTTATCTTTAGTAAATTTAGAAATGCTAAGTAAATTTTTGGCAATTCTAGGTCCGCATAAAATATTTTTCAAAAAAAGACATTTGGAATGTAAAGAACTAGGTAAATATGTAAGGCCAACATGTGAAATATTTAGGTACTCACCACTGCTAACTTGTAGCTGCTCTGTTCCATCATAGCTCCTGCTAAGATTAAGGTGATTCAGGTTAGCAGTAACATGATCCATACTCCCGGAATCCATATACCAGGCGGGGTTTTGTGTGGCTACTGGTGTGGCTATCATTGCAGAACCAGAATGTGCACAACCAGGTAGGTTATGGTGAGTAGCAAAATATGCCTAAGTTGATCTAGATGGTTCCTGACTAGGTACTGTAAACCCAGATTGACCAAGACTGGAACTTGTAGTTCCAGAAAATTGTTGTCTTAACAATTGTTGTTGCCCAGAAAATTGTTGTTGTTGACAACTACCACAATTCAACTCAGAGACTTGATTCACTCCATAAGGAGAGATAAAAGGAAGTCCACTTGAAAGCTGTTGTCCACTAGAGATAGGAGGATAAAATGGTTTGTTATGAGGCTGAAATGGACCAGGACTATTAATTTGTCCTCCTAAGTAAGTAGATAAAGTTTGGAGCTAACCAGGATTACCAATTTGACCTCCAAAGTAGGGAGGTGCACCATTGTATGATGAATTATACCCGTGGTAGCATTAGACAACAGTGTGTCCAACTTTGCTACACACTTCACAAACTGGTTTGCCGTTATTGTTTCCCTTACCTCCTCCTCTTCCAATTTGAGGAAAACCAGGAGTGTTGTTACCAGAAAAAGGACTTCCGTACTGTCCTATATGAGCTGAAGCTGGATAGGGATTAATGGAAGGTAAAACTCCCGTATTGGAAGCAAGAAGCTAAGAGTGACAATTTGGAGGGTAATGTTGAGGTGTAAAGGAATGATTTGGTATATTTGGAACAGAGGAAGCTGGTAGTGGCGTATTTGGTAAAAGAGAAAGGTTATTAGAGAACATTGTGTTGGACATTGTGTTATTGTGTAAAGTGGAATAGGATGTTGAGCTTCCTGAATTATTAGTGGCAGCAATATGGACGGCACTATTTGAGAAGTCAAGAGAATTAAACTTCTCAATTCGCATTTCATACTTTTGAAGAAAGTATTGTGCTTCTTGTAATGAAACAGAATCAAATTTAGATTCAATCCTAGAGGTTAAGTTGACGATGACAACATCAAACTCTGGATCAAGGTCATCCAGAATCAGTTGCAACAAATCTTCACTAGAAATCAACGGTCCACTTGCCGATAAATTCTTAGCTATACCTTTCATCTTTTTCACATATTCACTAACAGTTAAGTTCCCTTTTTGAGTATTTTGTAGAAGGTTTTTAAGATGCAAAGCTCTTGCCTTAGATTCATTTAAGAACTCATGCTCGAGAGTGAGCCAAATAGCAGTATATGACTAACACTTAGACACATAGCTAAACATACATTCGGATATTGATGCTAGCAACCAAGTAATCAGAAATTTATCAGTCCTTTTCCAAGCTACATATGCTAGATTAACTAAATTTCTTGCCCTAATTTCTCCAGTTTCTTAAGTGGTTTCATTCTCACTATCAATTAGTGGAGTAGGGTAGGGAACTAAACCTGTTAGATGGTCTTCAACCTCATGAGCTCCAACTGCCAATAGATCTTGCGATTTCCAGACTCTATAATTGTCCCTGTAACCGTCTCTTGTCAATTTCGGGTTTACAACTTGGAGGCTAGAGGGAAAGGCTGAAGTGAAGGAGCTGGACGAGCTATGGAGCATGTTAGTCCCTGATTTCACTGACTGATCAAAATCGGAGGAATTCGCCATTGACAGTTAGTCGGTGGCTTTGATACCATGTGAATCTTGAAGGGATTTGG